TCCCTGAGGAACATGATGTAGTGGCTGATCTAGTGATTGGCAGCCCTACCGATGGCAGGAGGACTGGAACTAGGAGATCTTTAACATCCTTTCCAACCCAAGCCATTCTATAATTCTATAATTCTGTGATTCTATGATTCTGTGATTTCTGTTTACATATTTTTTTAAGAGTATTTTTTTCAGAGATTTTGCAATTTGATTTTTTTCTGCAACCAAAATGCAGTATATTTACTTAACGTTTTTCTTCTTATAAAAAAAGGCCATGTAAATTATAATGTTTGGTAGTCATTTTCCACTGTATTGTTACCTCACTGCGAAAAAACCAAGATTATAGGTATGTACAATGTAGCTTTACATAAGTTTTTCTTGTGGGTTTCAAACAAATGGTTGTGAAGTGTCTGCTTTTAGTACTCCTCCAAATTCACTTTTGTGTTCCACCTACTTTGTCAAAGCATGGTTTATGTCTAGAATGAAGGAACAATGAGGAATAAATGGAAGGAGAAAACAAAAGTAGAGGAAAATAAATATTCAGAAAAAAATAGAGAAAGGATTTAGTTTGGAGAAAATAACAGCATAATTGGACCTTAAAAGGATTAATTAAGAAGGTGAGTTAACATCAATATGGACCTAAGATACACGTAAAGCAAAATGGATGCTTTACTTCAATAACACTTTGCATTATGCTTAATTTTAGTTTGGAATGCAAAAACAATAAAAATATGTTCTATTTGGTTTATATTACCTAATAAGTAGAATCCTTCTTCCATTCCAATGAGCTTATGAATGCCTTGCTCATTTTCTATTTGAAAAGCCAAGAGGTGTGTTCGCATGTTCCACTTATTTCTGTGGCTTATAGCCTTAAGATTCACTGCTATATAAATTTTCATAATGATCCACAAGTATGCATTTCAGAGACTCTGTCTAGCATCTTCTCTGAGCAGAACACCATTTTTAAAGTTATATTATTTAATTCTGTGGATAACTCAGTTATTTTATGCTCTGGCTTCTCAGAGGAATACAATCTCACTCTAGTGATATACATTGCTATGGACAAATTACAAATTGCAGTTTTGCCGTGCTTCTCTCTTACAGTGCCATGCCTTCTCCAGCTGCAGGGAGTTACCTCTGGACACCCATTTCCTCTTCGCTCATGTAGTAGCATCCAGCATAAGAAAACATTTGGCTGATACACTTTAACTATCATATTAATTCTTATGTGCTCTACAGAACAGTGCCTCTCCTTCCAGCCTCCCAACTCAAAACACTGTACTTCTCTTCCAGTAAATTCTTAGTTCTACAATAATATCTTCTTATATATTCAATTCCTGTGTAGCAGTAACTAGGCCATGCAGAACAGGATGAGCCTAATAAGAAATGGAAACTTTTTCTCTGAATTAGAGAATCCTGTCAGCAATAGCAATTATTATTAACAATAGAATGGATGATAACAGTACTGAAGAGGATTAAACTCGATCCATGTTGAAAAAGACTTTTTCCTGAACTGACTGCAAAGACATAGTCTGTGTCTTTGTAGTCTAATTATGGCTTGTTAAAAAATAATCAATGGTTAAATTAATTTATTCTAGTTATGTTCTGTTTTACAAAACTATGCAATGAGAGCCTGCATAACAGCAGAGCTAGACTGCAGCTGCAGAAGGTAGCACTTGTGTGCCTATCACTCCAGCTTTTCCTGACAGTAACCAAGGTATTCTGAAGCAGTAGGAAAGAAGAGTCAGCAAAGGCAGTACTGTGACTGAAATCTAGTAAATTTCTTTAAAAGCGAGTCATAGTGGTTGTATTCACCACATCTTCCTATATATTTGCAATTTTTTTACAGTCACCTGGATTTGTTATGGCCATTTTTTCCATGCAAGCAAGAGAAGGAAACTCATTAAACCAACTGTCAGGAACAGTGAAATCAGTTAGGCACAAAGTTCCCCTTTAGTCATTCCAGACACGCTGTTTGTTGTTACTACAAGTTAAGTAAAACAGTTTCAGATAGCAGTAGGATTTTAGGGTTGACTTTGACCTCTTTCAGTTACACAAGCAGATTATATATTTTTCATCCCGTTATTGACAAACAGGTTATTTTGTCAACACCAATGGACGAGAACATAATAATAGAAGGAACATAATAATAGAAAACTAGCTGAGCTCTGGGTGTGGCATGCAGGACTTAGCTTCCTCCTGACTCAATATTTGGAAAGGCATTTTAACTAGGAACCATCCTTCCTTTTGATTTTACTTCTTTGGTATCATTCTAAGCAAACTGGACTAAGTCTGTAGGTCATTTTCAAACAGTAGTTCTAAAGTGACTGTCACATGAAGTTTTGTGTGTTATTTATCTATGAAAAGATTCTATTTTATCCTTAACACAGATTCGTAAATATCAGAGCTCATGATCAAGTAGATGTTTTTTCCCTAGCTTTCATTGCTCCAAGTGAGGCAAGACAAAATATGTTTCCCTTGACTTAAGTGCTAGAAAGCAATGAAAGAAGTTATTTCTCAGTAGCTAATCCTGTAGCAATGAAAAAGTACATGCATACTTCTTTAACTGATGAGTGGCTCTGGATGTTCTGTCTGCTTTGGGATCCTATGAACTGTAAGGTGCTAAATATCTACATTTCTAATTTCTCTTCACTTTTTAGGAATGTTTCTAGAGTAAATTGAGAAAAATGGAGCTATAAAAAGAAGACCTTTTAATTAGCTTTGGAAAAGTTCTTGAGAGATACTTTTAACCTTTGCAATGACCCAAAACAGGCCTGAATTCTCCTTGTAAGTTCTTGTCATTGATCTCACACAAACAAAAATGTGTTATTTCTAGTCTCAACTATTAAAATTACAAGGGAGATCGATGTGAAGAAAAAACTGGACAAGAAAAACATCAATTATATTTTGTTTGACAAGAACTTTGAATAAAAGTTCTTGTGTCAACAAATGTGAACTACATTTACAGCCCTGTTGGAGATTTTACCAGTTCAACGGCCAAAGGTATCAATCTTAACCACAAGGAAGTTACTTATTAATCAAAATGCAAACCTGTACATGATAATACTTTATTACTTTCTCAATAACATATCTACAGCCAGCAACCTAAAAACCTCTTTCTGACACAGCAATGACTGACACCATTAACTAACCTCCAATTCCTTTATTTTCTCTTCAACTAATAAAGATAACCGGATTAACAAAAGTAGCTATGGTTACGATCACAAATACAGTCATATGAGGATATCTGTAGTGAACCATGTCAGTCCTGAAGTCAACTTATTCGCATATTTTTAACTATTCTCTCAGTTCCAACACTGCACTTGCTAATACTTTACTGGTCTCTCTCAACGAAATGTCATCACACCACTAACACTAAAGATACTGCAAATACAAAAGAATTATTCAGTGGAGGTAAATATGGTCAGTCAGAGGCAGTCCTTCCTCAGAGTGTTTCCAAGTGAGGTCCTTCTTATGCAAGTACAGAAATGAAAGTACTCTGAAAGTTATACACAAGGAACACTAAACTTTCACTGTTGCCCTAACAATTTTTTGAAACAATGTGGCCAGGCAACACAACTGACTTACAAGCAGGAGACTGATGTCTTCCTGAATAAAACTACAGGCAACTGTTGTAACTGCCTCTTATCAATTTAAAACAAAACAAAACAAGAAAAACACGAATCCAATTCCACCAGAAAGCCATGGTGACACACAAAAAAACTTGCATGCAAAGCTAGGAATACAGAGGATATAATACATGAGCTAACATTAACCATACTAGTGGGCTTTTGGCTCACTGCTATTATTTCCTTCAAATTTGTACTTCCTCTTTCATTTAAAGGCAGAGCTGAAACTTCTGCTTGGTGAAATGCTCATACGTGTTATATAATGAAGATGAGGAGTTTTGACTATTTGTGTTTATTAACAATTGGTTTTCAAATTATTTCAAGCTTACATTATTTTTTGTTTCTTTTTCAATCCGTGCAACAATAAAACTACAAGTCAGAACGAAATGAACGTTAAAAAGAAACATTTTTAAAAAAATATAATGCTTTCTTAGAACAATCTTGCTCATTCACATGAAATAATACACTAATGTTTTGAAATTAACAAAATACCTGAAAAGACAGTGTCTACCTACAGGAGAATTGTTGCCAAAAAGGCATAATTTTCTCAGTGTCTGAAGCAATTCCATCTATCAAGCCAACCCTTCTGAGTGTCCTGCTGCCAGTGATAAAGTTGACATAGTGAAAAAACAAGATGCAAATATTTAGAACCATGACAGCAAAATAGCAGGGAAAGTTTTCAAGTCTGTAGTATCCATCATGGGGAGGTGGATTCAATTGCCTAACTTGTTACTTCTCACTTTCTATAACCAAAGGTATGAATTTTTCATTTGCACCCTCATAGGTGCAATGAGGATAATATGGTCACTAAGGAATTCCACTCCAAGCTTCAACTGTGAGTACCAAGCAAAGAAGAAAAAATAAGTTTGCTCTGAAAACACAGAATTCTTGTCAGATGGAAAGCAGCATAAACAATCCATTTACTTTAACAATGCAATTGTTCATTACTAAACAGAGTGTAATTACAACACTGAACAGAGAGTGTTTGGGGCTCTTTTCTCCTGTTTCAGGACACATTTGTATCACATTAATGTCTGAGACAGTGAATTAGACACATTGAAAACAAGTGGTTTCACTGCTCCCACAGACTGCAGCCAAGTTCCTTCCCTTCTCACTGCTGAAAGTTTATCCTCTAATAAATAATTCCCAAGACATCTTGCAATAGGAAGCATTCATGAATGAATGCATTAATAAATGTTTCCTATTGCAGAGCTCCCTGGGAATTCTTGTAATACCTGCAAGGAGTTTACAGACCCTCATTAGTTACATTAAAAAAAGGAAATTTGCTACTTCTGAACACGCTATTTTGCCCTGTTTCAAAACATCACAGCAGACAACTAAATGCTGGCATGAAACAAAGCCAATGACCCGTTATGTACTTACCATGTACCACATGCTTGGCCACTTGGGATCATTGAAATAAGTGGATTGGGTACCTCCAGGTTTATAATCCCTCTTTATCCTTCTTTTAACCACCTGCTGTTGTATCCACTCCACCTGCCAACCAGGAAAACATTTGGTAAGTGTTAGGGTTTCATGGAGATTATCAAGAAATGTGTGAAATCTTGGGAAGTTTCCCATTACCATACTCAAAGACATATTTCATGTTAAAGAGTTCATTTTGGCAGTTGAAATTCACAGCTCACCTTGGCATATGGTTCACTAGGGAATAAGCCCAATTTTGTTAGTGCTACAAATCTCCCTGAACAACTGCTTATATCTCCTGTTAAAAGAATTTCATTTGAGATCATCTTTTGAATGCTGTATTTTTTTTTCATTATTAGAATTGAACTTTTAGAATTAGAATTTATAAAACTAGTTTTATAAAATGTAACAGTAGACCACAAGGACAAATAAACTACACTTCTGACCGTTTTTTATTTTGTTTTAAGTCTGTTTCTGAGAATAAAAACTTTCAGTAAAATATTAAAATATTCTGCTTAACCAATATCTAAATCATCTTCACTGCTTGGAGTGAATATAACAGAATTAAAATGTATTTTTAGTAGTCAATCTCTGTGTCAAGATTCTCTCTGCCAGGCATTCCAGAACATAATTTTGTGCAAAGTACTAATACAGGGAGAAAAAGACCAATATTGAGCAAAAGGTCAAATTATAACAACATCAAAAAGAACTTAAAACATCAAAGATAAGGGTTAAAAGCATAGTCTTAAAATCAGATTATTTTCTGTCAGATACCTCTTCATAAATTCACAACACACTCAGAAAGAGCAAGACTGAAAGTGACATCAGCCTTCGAGCAGATAGGACTGCAGGAAATTTTGGCATTAGCTAGTCTAAGTGGGAGCTAGTTTCTATGAATGTGAACATCATAATTATCCACATAGAAAAAAAGAGATTATATTTACACGCATCTATCTCACTTAAACTTCATATTTTTGCTGAATTGTTGCATGGGATATAACTATAAAAATTAAATTCACCTCTTCCCAAGCAAGACAGCCACTTCCTCTTAGCAGCCAACTCTTCATCTTTTATTTCTGCTGTTCACGAATATCTATGTATGCACACACACATACATATATATGGAATAAGTTTACTTTCAGCTCACATATTTCTCTCTGTCGCTTGTCAGAGACAGTACTGACATTTTTCTGCGGCAGGATAATTTCTACCGTATCTGCAGTTCAGCTTGAAATCATGAGGTCCTTAGAGAGACATGTCCACTGACATCACTGGAAGTTCTGCTTGAGATCCAAACCATCTCTACTTCTACCATTGCTACCATATGGTTTTCACTGTTTCCTTCAGAAAGTAGAATTGTGTTTTTCCCTTTCTTAAGAATCAACTTCAGGGTCAGGAGTATTCTACTTGTGAAGAAATTGTCTGGTTTAAGAATACAAGACTATGAGGTAATATTCATGCAGAAATCCATTTCTCTGTTCTTCTGTTAACCACTGTAAATCCTTTTCAGCTTCAGAGAAAATTGAGGTATTTGGTAGAGTGCTTTTTCCTCATGATTACTCTGCTCCTCTTCCAGACCAAGCTGCAGTCCATCTTGGTGGACACTCTCTCAGTGACCTGACAGCTGGCTGCCCCCTTCAGATCTTATGAGATCCAGAGATCCCATCCAGTGGAAACCCACTCAGCCTTCTGTATGCCATGCAGTGGACTCTGGAGGACTGTGAGATGTAGAGTGTATCTGGCCAGAGGCTAAAAGAAGGAGAGCCAAAAGACTGAAGAGGCTGCTCTAAAGTGTGATCAACATCCCTCTTAAACAGATCTCTCCTCCATGAAAAAGGCTGATTAATAACTGACATTTAATGAACCCTATGTCCTTGTCACCTCCTGCCAATATATGGTCTCTTTTTCAGACCCTCACAACAGCTTTTTTTTTTTTAAAGTTTATTACCTTGCAGGCGGCCCAGCCCTCCCATCACATCTGAAGCTGGATGAAAGGCATCCTACATACTTCATTCCTGACTCAGTAGCATACCTTAAACCATGGACTACAATTCTTTTATGCTAGTATTTAGCAACCAATAAGAAAAAATATCCAGTGTGTCTGAATAATCAAATATGATTTTCAGGGCTTATACAGTTCCACCTTCTAAACCTTATCAAGAGATGTATGTAAGATTGAGAGGGGTTTTCCTCAACAAGACACACTGCAAAACTCTTCAGCAGTCACTGCGAAAATATGTTCTCTTCGTTTATTTACTCCCTATTCAGCTGCAAATATCTACTGATTGTTAAAAAGATAAACAGTAGAGGCATCATAGTGCTTGCTGAGAGTGAACATCCATACACTTATGCCTCAAAAAAACCCCAACAATTAATTCATTTTCTCTCTTTTCCTGTTATGCCAGATGACATTACTGAGAACACTTATCAGACAGCCCTGTAGTTTAAGCAATCACAAGTATTGTCTCAGTGTGCCATTCCAGTTAATATGAACAACAATAAGACAAATCAACAATTCTGTATATGCATATACATAAATATTTCTGTACGAGCATGTATTTGTACATGACCTTGGATCATTGGATTTAATATGCAATGATATGCAAGCCAGCATAGCTGATGGTTAAGATTTTAGTGACATACAGATAGATATGTACCACCGTTTAAGAAAAATTAAATGACTGTTCTACAGATTATATATTTGTCACAGAGCCTGCCCCTAAAACATGCTGGATGTTGCCTATAATTCCTGTTTCCTCAGCTCCCAGAAAAGCTAGGGAAAACACATGAAAGAGTAATTCTGCAGAAGGACAGTACAGCATGCGCAATCAGACCCAATGCCAGAAAAAGAAATGTAACTCTTCTTCTATGGACTAATGACAATTTCATGTACACATAAAATTACTATAAATAAAATAGCTGTTCGGTCTCATTCAACTACAGATTTATGCAAATAGAATGTTTGCATCAGAACACATATGGGAAGATAGCACGGGCAGCTCTGTAATCATAGATACGATGTACACCAGGAGGACTCACCTTGAGCACCTGCAGATATCCAATTAAATAGAAGGGGAAGAGGGAGTCAAAATGACATTAAGATACAGCGACTGTGTACTGTCTTGAGGGAGACAGTGCAGGATGCTAGCCAGAGTAAATCTAAGCAATACAGCAGGCTTGATCACAGTCCTGGGTATAGCCTTGTCTGCAAAATTGTTATCAAACAGCTTCAGTCAGGATCTGCTTAGTAACTGTTTTTATACTGAGGATGCGCTGGTACACCCACCTAGGATGTAATTTAAAACATTCCAGGAAACCCATTTTCTCATTTGAGAAGTCAGTGCATAAAGCTTAGTTTACAGAAAATATCACTGGTACAGAAATAGAACACTCTACTGAACCCTAAGGCTGGCTTATTTTCTTTTGAAATTGAGGAGAAAAACTTGCCAGTAGTCTTCAGTCTAAGTTACACTGTACAATTACTGGGTTATATCAATGAAGACTAGGTCAAGACTCAGCAGTTATTTTAGTATTTCCTTTGAGTATTTTATGGATATTCATGCACATGTCACTGTCAAATGCCTGGTATATCTTGGATTTGTTTGATTCAGTATGAAAAGAGCTCATTTGTATAAAAATATTTTCTTTTAAGAAGTTTCTACACTTCCTAAACTATAGGCCTTGAAGGAAAATCTCTGAAGTAATTGATTATACAGATTCCCATCTCTTGCCAAAAGGAGACTCTATGCGAACAATGAGGTGCATTTTAACATTTCCATAAAGTCACACTTGCTGAGGGGGAACAGTGCACATTTTCCCATTGACTTCAGCTTTGAAAGTTCCATTTCCTGAATGTCTAGAAATCAAAGCCAAGCCAGATTGGAGACCAAACCATTCCAAAAAAAAAAAAAAAAACCCATCATTTCCAGTCTCCTCACTCATAGGCTTGTTTTATATATGACACTTCTTCACAGACCTGCATGAGACAATGCTATGGAATAAAAGCTGCTCCGAGCTTATTTTAGTACATCATGCTTTCATTCTCTGTAGGCATAAAGAATATAATGAAATGTTATCTCTAGGTGAAACAGAACTACTTTAATTCTCATTTATTTAACAGAATTCATGAAAAAGCAGCCCCATGTATGTATACAGCAGTAAGAACTCTACTGTAATAAATTGTGAAAAAAAATTCAAAAAACAAATGGGAATACTTAATAAGCTGGAAAAAAAAATCCATCTGTAATCAAAGCAGCGTAATTTTTAAAATACAAACACTAGACAATCTTGTGAAACATCACTTACTTTGTTTTTCAAATATGTCATGAAGAGGTCTGCTTGAATAAATATTTTCAAATTGATTAAAAATGTGTCAAGTCCAGCATGTGAAAATGTTACCATTAAAAAGGAGAAGGTATAAAAGCAAGTTGGAGGCAAATTCCTTTCCATTTTGAGGAAAGAATGCACAGGGAAGGAACACCCTAACTCTGAGCAATGTATGCATTTCACATCAAAATCTATTATTTTTACATTGCAGAATTAAAAAAAAAAGGTGTGAGTATTCAATGTATGAAAAGGAATTGCTGAAGGTACCACTCTCAAACTTAATCACAGCATCATTCACTTCAGTCTGTCCTGTACCTCTAAGAAATTAAAAATTCCTGCTCAGCTAAAGTGAAAGCAAGTGTCAGATGAACACCATAAAGAGAAAGAAGGGACAGAAAACTCAGATAGAGCGCATAGAAAGTATCACCAAGCTAGCAGTGAATCTGCATGGAGTCAGGCTGAATGAGCAAAAGGGGCAACACTAAACCATGAACTGTGCGACAACCTGCTCTCTGCTGGGACGGCTTCACAGTGCACCTGCTGCACCTCAGCCTTCACTCTAAGCACTGAGTGCTGACGTTTACGTGAGATTCAAGCTAAAGGAAAGGACAGGAGAGAGGCTGGCACTTCCAGAGAGAGAAACCAAGACTGTGCCTAGCCCACATGTGTGATGTAAAAGAAAAATGGTTCCGACTGCTTATGGTAGCAGAAACAGTCAGTTATGAATTGTTACCATCATCAAAATT